CCCTGTCCTCCCGAGAAGCGGCTGGTGGCAAGGAGGGCACAGGACTCTGCCTTGTGTCCTTCGGACGTGCCCTCGGGAGAGCCTGGCCCCTGGAGAGGGCAGCATGCTGGGGGCAGCAGACAGACAGGGAAAAGGGGAAGACCCTCACCGGTGTGGATTAGCTGCTACCATGGGCTCACACATGAGAACCACTGGGGACGGTACCATCGTGCACAGGGCTGCAAGGAGCTGGCCCAGTCCCACACGCCTCACCACCGCAGTGTGGCGACTCTTAGCGACAGCGCAGAAGGGGGTCCAGTGACACGGGCAGTCGCCGTCAGGCCCACAGAGCCGACAACATGCGCTGGTGGGTTCTTTACAGGTGTTCCTACCCCAACTCCTCCTCTCGCGTGAGACTGAGGTCAAGCAGCTGCACAGGCAGGCCCAGCCCCCGGGCTTGAACACCTGTGGCCGACCCTTCCCACAGACAGCAGCACCCTGGCAGCCCCGGGGGCGGGGACAAACATCCCCAAAGAGCAGCCGCCTTGTGCCAATGGCCGTTCTTGGTGACTCATCTGAGATAGAAACAACTGAAGACATCCCAGACCCAGGGGTCAATCTTCTGGGAGGGGAGGGGGCACCAGCAGAAATGGGTTCAGAAGCCTCCAATTTCAGCTATTTAAAGCGGCTTGGTGTGTCCTTCTGCGCTCCCTACACTTAAAGTAATGACACCGTTAAACTCCCTGAGCTCAGCTCCTTGATAACAGTCTTACCCATTTTTGATTGCCACCTGAAATAAACCGTTGAAGCAGCTGCCACCTCAGGCAGGATGAGGCGCGGGAGAAGGGAAACATCAGAGGGGACCTTAAAAAAGAAGGTGGCTGGGGAAGGGTGGACAGTTCTAGACTTGAAAGAGGAGCAGCTCGGGTCTGAATTCATGGCTCTTGAATGCTGTCTTCCCTGGGCGACCCCTGCTGACCCCTCACCTCCCTGACCCATCCTGCCCACCGCTTTCAATGGGCGTGAGGATCCCACACCACAGAGAAAGCAAAGGGCTGAATGAAGGCAAGTCAGAACACCCCGCGACAAAACCACAGCTGCCTCCGTGAACCAAAAGCATCAGCGTGTGTTTCTCACCGCAGCCTCCCACCTGGGTCTACACGCTTCTCCAGGTGAGGGGTCCCCCCTCTAACTCTCCTGAAGACTTCAGAAGTACGCGCTTCAATTCACACCATGTCACGAGGGCAGTTTAGAGAGCCCTACAGCGATGCCAGGAGAGACCAGTCCCTGGAGAAGGACACTATGTTTGGTGGGGTGGGGGTGGGGGCCGGGAAAAGAAGACGACCTTCAACGAGATGGACTGACACGGTGGCCGCTTCAACGGGCGCAAACTTAAGAACCCCGGGGAGGGGGGCACAGGACAGGTAGGGATTCGGGCTTCTGAACAAAGGGGCGAGATGAGTTGGGACTGACTCCATGGTACCTCACCACAACGAGGGGCGCCAAGCCGGCTCCTGCTCGGTGTCGCTTGTGTTGGGGGAACAGAAAAAAGCCCAAAGAGGAAGAAAGATCAATGTGGCAAGAGTCCCCAAGGACGGTCTCAGAGGCCAGCCCTTACCACTCTGGCAGCATTAGCAGGCACACTGTCTTCATGGAAAACAGTGCGTCCCGGCCTTTCCCTTGCCAATGTGGTTTTCAATCTTCTTCACACTGCTCCCCAAATGGGGGGCCCTGGGGTAGCTCTCAGGCTGCTAATCCCAAGGCAGGCAGCTGGAAACCATCTGGCGCTCCCCATAAAAAGTTTCCGTCTCAGAAACCCAGAGACAGTTCTAGTCTCTCCTACTGAGTCCCTAAGAATCTGAATCTACGCCATAAGACTGTTGAGTTGGGCTCTTCCTAATAAGCCTTCGTGACCACCCTGTGTCCTTCGAGAAAATCTATCGCGCCTACCTTTGGAATTCCCCAAACAGTCACCACAGCCATCTGAGTTACCTTGGCCAGCCTGCCCCTTCCCAAGGCACTCTCTTGATTAGACCTTTTGGGGGAGCAAGTTCCCTAACTAAACAAGTGTTATTACAGAGAAAAGTTGGTTGTAGCTATCCACTGATAGCAAAGCTTGTTCAAAAACAATGTTTGGAACAAACCTGTGCATATGTGACCCGGAACCCTCTGACGTGCCCCCATGTACCCTGAGTCCCAGCATCACCCCTTGGAACAGTGCAGACACACAATCTCTTCTTCCCCCTACCCACATGCAGACGGTTGGCGGGGCCCTGGCCTGAGTCCCTGTTATCAGGCAAGGCTGGAGAGGAAGGCTGAATCCAGTACAACCTCAGGGGGCTGTGGCCCCAGTCAAGGATGGCATCCCAGTGAGACTCGGTTTGCCAATAGACAAAATGGGCACTACCACCACCAGCCTCCCAGCGAAGAATCCCACAGGTCAGGTCAGAGGACAGGCTGGCCTACTGTCCTACGCTTAGTAAGCACTCACTCCATCAAAATTACACCTCAGCAAGCTGGAGTTGGCGTGCAGCTAGCCCAAAGCAACTTTGCAGAGTCAGGAATGTGTGTGTGCACATGAGTGTGCTTCACACAAGCACGTGTGTAGGCACATACACTGCTCGTGTCTGGTTCCCTCCAGCCAGGCTCTAAACTAGTGCAGTGTTGAGTCCGTTTGTCAGTTCATCTGCGACTTCTTTGCATAGCTCTAGGACTTGCTCATTGCCCCAAAGGCCCAGCAACAGAGTTCTCTCCGACTTTGATCTTGAGAGATGGCGAGCCCTGCCCAAGGGGATGCAAAAATAACACTAGCCACCGGCTATTCTGCAGACAGACCCAGAGGATGCTCAGCGCATGTGTATGAAATGAGCTATGAAAACGCCAGCAGAGAGAGCTTTATGGGTTTCGATACTTTCAAAAGCCTCTTTAGTCCATTAATAAAACACTTGATAAGTTTACAGATCCTACTGGAATCCACAAACGTTACTGCAAAATTAACCGAGCAGCTTCAGAGCGGGGTGAGTGCCAGGCCAGGGCCATGGGTCTGGGACAGCTTCCCAGATGAAAAAGCCACAGTTCTCAGGGCAGGGTTGTGCCACGGTGGGCATGGCTAAAGCATGCAGGGTCTCCCCTGGACCTGATGCCCAGCTCCTACGTGTGACTAAAGAGAGAGCAAGAGGGACAGAGACAACCGATGAGGGAGAGAGGGGACAGCGGGAGAAAGACAGGAAGGAAGAAGAGAGAAAAGAAGGGTTGGGGCCCAGGAATGTGCTGCCTGTTGGCAAGTACAAGCCTGTTGAACACCAACAGCCCATCTGGGCCGCATCCACCTCCCTGACACCCACAAATCGGCCCACGAGATTCCAAAGCAAGTTTCGGCTTGAAAAAGGAACCCACCTCCTGTTACAAGCACTGCCCGGCCTTGCTTCAAAGGCAGGGTGGTGGGGGAAGAGGGCGCTTGCTCCAGACACAGGCTGGACTTATCTCCTTTCATTATGCCCGACCTCTCTCCCTGGGCTGGGTGGGGGCGGGGTGAGGACACCATCCCCAGCTATTTAAATTCAGCCTGAGAAGATGAACTGGAGGGTGCTCGGTCACCAACACGCTCGGCCACTCTTCAGAACCCAAGCGGAAGGGATCAGCCTCGCGGGCACAGCCAGAGAGCACAGTGGGGCGGGCATCTTCCCAGCGCCCTGGACCCGGCTGGGCTGGAGGAGCAGACCTCTCTCTGTCGCACGGTCTGCCATCCATGCAGAAAGCAGACACAGGAAAGCCTCCACTCTGACTGTTGTCTCTAGACAGACGGGCACACGTAGGGTCATCGCTGCCCATCGCCTTGGGCAGACGAGCAGAAGGCACAGAACTTGCAGACTGGCAGGGGGGACGGACAGCAGGGACTGTGAACTGCCCACGGCAAGCAGGGCAGACCGGGAGCAGTATCCTCTGGTCCACATCTGCCCTTCGGCGGGGAGGACACAGACCTGTGAGCCGGACACAGCCCCAGGACAGTGTCCCCAAGCAGAGAGCCCCAAGCAGCGTCTGGCTCAGCCATTCACCTGCCAGCCTCTTTAACCCGTCTCCACGCAGGGCAAACCTGGTGCACCGTGAATAGAACTGTGCGCCAAGGGGACTTCGGTAACTGTTTTCTCCAAGGTCAACAGCCAGGCCTTTCTTCTGAGGTTCAGCTGGATGAATGAGAACCTCACCCTTTCAGTTCCCAGCCCAACGCATGCACCATGTGCACCACTAGGGGATGTGCCCAGGGCCCTCAGGCCTGTCTTTCTCATGGGAGCCAGAAGAGGACACCACATGAAAGCCATCAAGGCTCAAATCCTGTGGCTGTCCAGGGGCAGCAGATCAGTCTGGGAACCCCATTTCCTTCACAAGAACCCACTCTGGAAAGCCCCGTCTCCCCCCAGCATGAGTGAGGCTGCATGAGCACGGCGTGTACCACATCTGTCTGTCGGCATGTACCATGTCTGTCTGTCTGCCCCACACATGCCCATCATTCCTGCCTGAGTGAGGGTTCCTGGTGTGGCTCCCACGCTCCCGGCATCATGTCCATGCTGCCTCACAGACACTGAGTTGGAGAACGCTGACAGGTACGGTGTCAGCACCTTTTCCAAGTCTCCTTGGCATTTGACACGGGGGCTCGGACTGCCAGGGCCCCAGGGGCAGGCCTCCATCTCACCTTTCCAGAAAGGCACAGGACAAAGCCCAGCACTGCTCACAGCCTCCGGCAGCTTCTGCCACACCTGAGTCACAACCCCGCATCTCAGCCGCTACCCCCACCAGCTCCCAGCCCAATTCCCACATGGTCAGCAAATGCCAGCAAAATCGCACTAAAAGGCCACTCTGTCTGCTCCTGTAGGCATAAGGGAGACGTGCCCACTGCACGCCGGCCTCCCGTGTTCCAGCTGCTGCTGAAGTCCACGTAGAGCTTCAGGGTCACATTCAAGCCCGCGGTCTCTGGGGACACGATGGAGGCGGCCACTGTGAGGCCAGACCCGCGCGGCGCTTACCTTGCCAAACTGCTCGAAATATTGCTTTACATCTTCCACCACTGTGTTCGCAGACAGTCCGCCCACGAATATTTTCTTTGTTCTTGTGACCATCTGCAAGAAACGACAAGAGGACGACACAGGTTAACCAGGTGACCTGAAGGTGCACTTCTTCAGATGCCAAAACCGGGCACCCTCCACACTTTTCCAAACCAAACCCCAGTTCACTGCCCTCGAGTCGGGGTGGACTCACAGCGAGCCTAGTGGACAGGTGGAACTGCCCATTTGGGTTTCTGAGACTAAATCTTTTCAGGAATAGACGCCTCATCGCTCTCCCTTAGAGCCGTTGGTGTGTTTGAACTGCTGACCTTAAGGTTAGCAGTGGACTGGGTAGTCTGCCACCAACCCCCCAAAAATCCAAACTCACTGCCATCAATCTTTTTCAATGCACAGCAACCCTGTAGAATGCCCCAGTGGGTTTCAGAGACAGTAACTCTTCATATGAGTAGAAAGCCTCCTCTTTCTTCTGAGCAGCCAGTGGTGGTTTCAAACTGCTGACCTTGTGGTTAGTAGCCTCATGTGTAATCCCGATGGTACCAGGGTTCTGAGCCCACCACCAAGAAAGGGTAACTTTCAGATCAAATTAAGCCGTATGCAGCAGGCCTTTAGAAAGCAACTGTCCTGGAAACCCTAGACCTCCAAGTTGCAGCCTAGAAAACGCGAATCTCATCCACCCTCTGTCTTGGCCTCTGTCCGACTGAGTGAAAACCATTGTCGACCTAAGAGACTGAAACAAAACTACAACCACAAAAAGCTGCTGCCTCAAAAGTACTGACAACATTGGTCCATAAACACGGCTCTGTTCAAAGCAGCCCAATGGTAGGAAACAGCCCCAGTGCCTGTCGACGGACAAACGGAGAACCCTATGGGATCTGTACGTATGATGGAATGTTCCGGGCCACACAGAGAGACAAAGGCCTGATGCACGCTGAAATACGGACAAGCCTCCAACACCTGATGCTGGGAGAAGCAAGTCGGACGCGGAAGGGCAAAGACGGCATGGCCCACTTAGATGGCATGTCTAGAGCAGGCGCAGTATAGAGACATAGTTACTCATGGATCCCAGGGGGGGTAGGAGGGGTCATCTTGTTGGGAGCCCAGTGTCCTCCCATTAAGGTGGATGGGAAAGTCTGGGGAGAAAGAAGGCTGACGGCTGAGCAGCAGGACACATCTAATGAATGTCCCCCAACTGTGCAGGTAAAGCTTGCTGAAATGTCAGCTCTGTGCTGCACACTGCCACCACTCTTCAAAAAGGAGTGAGACAATGGGTGGTGGTGATGGGTGTACATCAGGATGAGTGAGATTAATGTCACTGGATTTTATACCCTTACAGTCAGTTAAGATGCCCGATGTTTTATTACCTGTATTCTACCATAACTCGGGAAAAATTCATCAACAAGAAACTCAGGACCAATTCTAAAATATGATGGTCTGCTCAGAGCCCACCTGAGCTCCTAGGTGCGGGTATAGGTCTGGGAATGGGACAGACCTTGCACCCAGTGTCCCCCGCCCACCGCCTCCCTTTTCATTTCCCACGATTCTGCCCACACTCTGGTCTAGCTAGCAAACGCCCCCCCCCCCCACCCTCTGTTCACACAGCCCCTCCCCTCCTCAGAAGGCTGTGCACTCCAAAATCCTGCCCTGGACCAATTGTAACCATCCTCCAAGATCCAACTCAAACAATACTTTCTCCAAATGCCAGACCACCCACCTGTCCGGACGGTCTCCAGCCCTCCTGCTTCTGAAACCCCAGGACGTGGCACCCACCCCCTGATGCAGCACACACTTTCCAACGGCGGCCAAGCCATGGGCGAACCCACTGTCTTGCTCCTTCAGGGAAGGTTTGCAGGTCCCAGGCCAGTGGCAGGCACAGAGAAGCTCAGGCCTAAGGTTTGGCGGCTGCATAGAGGAATGGCTGTGGGCACCTTGGCGACTCCCACCGTTTCAAGGCAGAGAGGGAGGCTCACTGATGGGTGGGACCATCTTACACAGAGGTGCCGGAAACTAAACAGGGAGATAAACTGGATTCCAAAGACGGAGTGTAGGGTGTGAGTCGTTGGGGATGAGGTTTTGGCCAAAAACAAAACAAAACACTAATTTACTAAGTTCAGTAGGTGCCACATCTCCCCCATTTAAAAACGGCAGTTTATCACTGTGCCCATCAGCTGAATGAATGAATGAATGAATGGAGAGCAACTCAACTCGGAACAGGACAGGGAGCCTCAGCTGTGCACACTGAAAGCGCCACGCCAGTGGCTCTCGAGACAGTGCTCACCCCCTAGACCCGCCCACACCCTGCTGAGTGCTTGGCCACAACCCCAGGCTCTCCCCATGCCCTGAGCCCTCATGAATCTGTGGGTGTGGCCGCCCTAAAGAACAGAGAGCCTAGGTTGGCATAGCAGCTCCCCGTGGGGACCAGCTCTCAGGGGTGGCTGGTTTACTCCACGCTGGAGTTAGACGTCCTATATTGCTTGAAGAGGGCTTGATCCGGGCGACTCCACATAGCCCGTTGTCTACTTCCTGTTTCCTGTGCGAGCCTGCCCACGGCTTTCACGTGTCGAAACTGGTTTTACCGTCTCTTTTCAGATGGACGGGAAACTAGATGCTACAAGGCAAGTGGAACACTATGAAGAGCTCACCGCCCCACCAAGCTAGCGCTAAGGACCTCTGCTCATGTCTTTGCTCACATGGGGTGGACGGGCTACTCCACCTCAAGGCAGACTCTCCTGGTGGTGTGAATGGTGAGCCTGCTCAGCAGCTAGCAGAAAGGTTGAAAATGTGGTCCTCCCAGGAGTACCATGGAAGAAAGCCCTGGGATTCTGGTTCCCAAAAAACACCCCCTAACTACCTTCTGGTGGACAGGCCCCCTGTGCACACATGAGGTCACCAAGAGTCATGGTCTACTGCTCCAGGGCAACCGAGCCTCCCTTTAGTGCACCTCATAGTCTTCCTCCTCTAGTCTCATCGCCCTCCCCTAAGTCTCAGTGAAAGTGATCCGGGTTTAAATCTCTCCCTAATGGCCAACCTGGGCTGCTCACCACAAGGTCAGCAGTTCAAAACCACCAGCCGCTCCGAGGGAATTAAAGGAGGCCTTCTGCTCCCCATAAAGCGTTTCAGTCTCTGAAACTCATAGGGGCAGAAGGACACTAGGAAGACCCCACAGCCCCACGAGCTAGCTCTCAGGACCGTTGCGCATGTCTTTGCTCACAGTGGGGGTGGCGCTACTCCAACTCACGGCAGAGCCATGACTATGTGTAAGCAGTGACTCAATGGCAGTGAGTTGAGCTTTTTTCCCCTTGGGCTTTTGTAACTTTTCCAACAGACTCCCTCAATGAATAAATCACGTGCTAGGTGCCCAAGATGACCGTCTAATAGAACATGGAATTCTACCCACTATCAGCCTGAGAGGTACTAGCTTGTCTATACCCGCTGCTGTGGAGCAGATTCGGCAGCCCTACAGGACAGAGTAGAACCGCCCCAGAGGGTTTCGAAGGCTGTACATCTTTCTGGAAGCAGACTGCCAGCACCATGGGCCTCTGGGTAAGCAGCAGAGCATGTCACCATTGCTCCTTTTGTCTACCGCGCAAGGCTCGTCCTGGGGGCTGAATGAAATCACAGCTGGCTCAGCGTCCAGCCGGGCACCTGGTAGTCGCTAAATGAATGTTCCCTGCTAATGGAATCCCAAGTGAAGTTACTAAATCCACCCTTGGAGCTCAGGATCAATGCGCAGCTACAAGACACCTGAGACAGAAAGCTCTGATAAATCAACTCTCCCTGGCCCGTTCTCTTCTCCCAGAATTTTAAAAGCCCTTCGCTGCGTCTGTCTGTCTGTCTGTCTCTCCGTTGATTTCAGAATGAAAGACTCCCAACAGTTTTATTTTAGATGCTCCATTCCTCTTCTAAGCCTAGCCAAGCAATTAAATGTCTGCAAAGAAACACTCATGTGATCTACCAGAGGAGGCCTCCACCTGTAGGAGCTCTGGGCAGGTATTCCGCAGAATGAACCCCCGTCTCACTTCCGGCTGGGTACAGAGGCCTCTTCTATCATCCAAATGTGCTCCGGGGCTCGGAAAGCCCGAGGACGCACCTGTCTCTGTTGCCAACAGCAACACAAGCCCACAGAACGGCCGCTCCCCAGTCACTCGGCAAGGGAACGGCCGCCTCTTACACCCTTCACTCACCCACAGTTGCCAGCAGTCCTAAACCCACCTGAGCCAAGGCCCAAACACGGGCACAGCCACCTAGTCATAAATCTGCAGTCTTAACAGCACACACAGATGTACAACGTTCCTTTTTCTTTCAAGGAAGGAGCAGAAATTCCAAGCCCCTGATAAGGTGCCCAAGTGCCCACACATTGCTGAAACATCCTTCCCAGGCACCCAGCCCGGGCCCAGTGAACCAGCTCTCCGGCATGCACTCCAGGGAGGCTGGTTTGATCAAAACCTTCCAGACGGGAAGATGTGCCACTCTTGGTTAGCTGCTCACTGATGGCTCTGCGCTGCGCGGCGGAGGGAGGGACACTGCCGGGGTCAGTGGGCTCTGCATGGTGACCCCTCTCTCTGGGGCACAATGGTGGGAATGCGAGCGGCTGTCTCTGGGCATCCTGTTGGCTCCACTGCTAAATGGCCTGTGGCTTGCGCAACAATTTGCATTCTGGTGAGGGAGCGGGAAGGCAGAGGACCCCAGAATCACACATTCTTCTCTCCATTGCCTTTCCATCTCCATGGCGACTGGTGGCTGGGAAAGGGTGTCCATCCTTTCAATGGGAGCCAACCAAGGGCCCCAATTCCCATTGATGCTACGACAGTGAGTTTGTGAGGGTGGGGGTGGGGGAATATGTGCGAGTGTGTGTGTGCGCACGCCCTTGGAGGCACGCTCTATCCCCACCCCTTCCCATGCTGACTTCTGTGGGTGCCAGGAGACACCCACCCTACGCCTGGGACTTTTAATGTTCTCTGACTGACCTGGGGAAGATGGGGCTCTGACAAAGTACGCACGGGCCCCTGGCCCAACTGTTCTTTGGATTCTTCAAAAACATCCTCTCCCCACTAAAG